GATTTTTTTGTTTGGTTGGTTTTTGGGGGGTTGTGGGTTGGGTTTTTTTCATAATTTATGGTTCATCATAATGATATGCATGGCACCAGGTTCAGCAAGAGGAGCACTAGTAGGTGAAGAGCAGATGATTAATTTTCTGACAAAAAAAAGGGGGGGGCGGGGCAGGGGGAAGGGGACAAGAAGGAAATACACTCGGAAAAAAGCTGCTATCCAGTAAGAAGGTGAAAATTCTCTGCAGTCTAACACAGAACACGTAATGTGGCTTTAAAGTTATGGCCCAACTCTCACAAAAAAATGGACATATTCCTTTAGTGTGAGCACTTACCGTCATTTTCTGTCTGTTTTGGAAGTTTTCAGTAGAAAACTGACTCCACCTGGTATATCGGCTTTGTGTTGCTTTAAATGAACTGTATACCCACAGTCAGAAGCTAATGGTGGCAACACTAACAGTGAGCAACATATTATTTCAAATTCAAGAAAAATAGTGAGATGTATACATCTAGGCACTAGCCTAGACCCTTCTTTTGCTACTGAACCAACAGTCAAATAAATCCTTAAGGAAATTTTGCTCCTGATACCATCTGCAGAGATCAGAAACTTAAGCTACTAGGACATTTGCTTTTATCTGAATCAAGTTCCAGCATGTTTCAGATTGGATGCTTTTAGCAGGTGCTCAACAGGAAATCCAGGTATACCATCCAGGAGTGGCAGACTGAGCAGACTGTTTGGTGCCAGTGCATTGACTTTTGCAAAGCAGACAAGAGAAAGATTCAGGGAATGTCAACACTAGAACAGGTGGAATAATTGCCCTATTACTGCAATGCAAAAGGTGACATTTTGGGAAAAATCACTTACCATGTGGACAATGAAAAAGCAGCCTAGATCAGTCTAACACTCAAAACAAATGCATGTACATATGTAACAAAGATTTAGATTACCAGGCCACCTACCTCCCAAAACCTAAACTCTTGTTGAAGAAATTGCTCTTTCTATATTCAAGCATTAACTGTAAAGTAAACTTACTCTTTTGCAAAGTTGAGGAACATTACAGACAAGATTCACTGCTGTGATAGAAAAGCAGTTTTTAGCTTCATAGATTTTTCAGATGACAGACCCCCCCATTCACAACTAAGGGACTTCAATCACATGTATGACTAAAGTATCATATACTCCCAAATAAACCTCTTTCAAGCTCTTTCAGCAAACATCCAACTTGGATATATAATTTCTAGCTCACTTTTCTGTCATGTGGACCATAGATAACTTTTCAGCCTTCAAAACTCTAGCTCCCATAAAAGATAATAAGAAACAATTTTGACATTCCTTATGTTTTTGCTGACACCTTTGAAGTCATTGATATCTGACAGAAAAACATTTGACTTTTCAGAGCGTCTTGTTATCTAATGTCTTTTGACTTTTGATCAATTGTACCTGCCAGCAAGTATATCAGCAAGAACAAAAAAACCTATGACAATTCCTTTACAATCACTTACATAAAGATTTTGGTCATTTTAACTTGGAAGTTTTTTCAACTACTAAAAACACAGGATAACTGAAATTATGATTAACAACTGGGGATGTCCTGTTGCCCATTCAGTATACCAGGGATTTCGCTCTGAGTTCTAAGAAGCGACACGTCTCCTATTCTTTAGCATGTCTTCCTACACAACACAGTTCTCATGGTTTAGGTTATAGTCCCTGACCTTCTGTAGCTTCCCAGTCACTTTTAATTAAAATAAATAAATAAAAGACAAACCTATGCAGGCATATTACAATAGTTTAGAATAGCTACAAAGTCAAGATAGATTACCTATCTCTTCTTAGAGGTTAACACATTTGAAGTTTTATGTTCTCCTGTGTTTCATTAACCAGATACAACCTTCTGTGATTGTCAGCTGAGCTGAAATACTCATTAGCCTTCCACACCGCCACTCCAGTCTTCTTGCTCTGTCAAGTCCTGTCTCCTTTCCTTTCCTTTTCCTACTCTTGAACAACTCTCTGTATCTCCAAATTCATTGCTATTGAGTCAACCACTATCTCTGAAGCTCTCAAGAGAGAATTCAACATAGGAAAAAGGGATTATCCCAGCCTAAAATGAAAGGGTCTTTAAATTCTACAGGAAACACTCTATGCGCAGGGCTGCTATTCAGTAAATAACGATTACACTTTTTATTTTCTAGGCTACTTAGAGTCTGTGACGCTCTTCCCCCTTAAAATAAAGCAGTGAATTTGTGTGTGGAGAAACTAAGATGAATCTGGCACAACAAACATCCTCTGAGCAAGATGAAAACAATCATCCCACGGCAGATCCATCAAGTTCTGCAAGCCAAGTTCAAGTCCCACACAATTAGTTCCCAGCTTATACTAGCTCAGAAAAGGATTTACATTCAGCATCTGTACAGAACAGTCTGTCCTCTACTCTGTGACTGTATATGCCATACGTCTGGCTAGCTTGACCTGTCATTTACTGAAGTAGGAATTTCACAGAATAAAAAAAGAAACTGAAATGTTGGGCCAGTTAAGTTCCCTTCAAAAGAGCAAACTCCCAGCAGCAGCCTAAAACAACGTAGGGTCAGATTCACCAATGCAGTCCCTCAACTAGAGCAGGCTCAGCGGTAAACTCCACAGCTACTGACTGGCTGGTATAACGGCTTCTCTCCGAATGCTAAATGAAGCTTCAAAGACAGACTGCCAATCAGGTCACTGGCCAAGAATTTGGGGAGCAACACCACCTTATGTAGTAATTTGTATGCTTTGGTAAACCATATATGTCATAAAAGTGAAAACAATCCTCATCCATATTCCTGAACATTTTTAATTCCATTTACAACTTTGAACTACTCCTCTCATGTACGTAAGACCAAACCCTTTCAGCTGTCAGGCAGAAAAAAAGCTAGACTAATAAGAATGGATACATTTGCATTAAAAATATTCCACAAAACCTAAACCAAAAACCTGAAATCAGTTTTAAGTACCACAAAACTACATTACTGTAGTAGCTTTAGTACTTACACATGCTTTTAATTCCATTTTATCACTTGAAAGCTACTCAAGCCTTACATTTTCATGACAGTAAGCCCTTTGCTCTCACTTTCATCCACCTTTCTTAGACCTGAGATCCTAGAAAGCTACAGATCACAGCAGAATCCTTCAGAACTACACCAGCAGTGAAAGAAGAAAAAAAAATTTAAAAAATGCTGAATTTGGCGTATCTAGGGCTGACAGCTACCCACAGCCATCATCTTTCCAGGTTTGATTTTTCCTACTGCAGTAATGTATCTTAACTGCAAAAGTCCTATTTTTAATGAGAGCCCTCCTAGACCCTAACATGTAATTTTCTGTCAGCCCTCCAGCCCTTCTAAAACTATTCCTTTAAGACTGTCTCCAGTCTTACCTAGGCAGCAGAAAGAGAGTATTCTCCCACCTCTGAGATTTACACAAAAATTATCAGATTACAGGGTTGTAAAGAACTGTTGCTTGTGGGCTCCATTAAGAGCAAGGAGGTAAATTCCTGCTCCTCCTCCATCATGCCTCCTGGTCAGGTGCTGCAGCATGACCAATGGTGAAGACGGATAATCCCAACAGGTACAAGAAAGGAGCAGGGTGGGGGAGAATGTGTCCGGAATAAAGGATGGCCACTTTCCTCCCCTTCTCTTGCAATGTGTCTATTCAGCTTTGATGAGCTGCACTGGTAATGGCAGCAAATTGAACTGTTATCTCAAAAGGACTCATGTATAATATTCAGAGAGGGCTAAAATGAAAACAGTGAAGGCAGCAGGCATCAGTTGGGCACTACGTGATTCAGCAAAAATGATATGCCCATCTAAAGGTTACAAATGGCCTTCCTTAACTGACAGAAAGGAAGAGGAGTGACAGTTCAACGGGACTTCTATCCCCTCAAAATGTGAGCCAAACATGTGCCTTCACATGCAGCAGTGTAATCTTCAGCCTGCACTACCAATATAAAAAAAAAAAAAAAAAAAAGGCAGTCTGAAACTATCTGCAAGGCATACAGGATAGAAGAGATTTTTAACATTCCTTCAGCTGAAAAGCTGTTGCTGTGTCACTAATTACCACTTAAAACAAAGCTTACAGCTGACTCAAACATAAGGCTCAGGTCCTTCTGATGTCATTTGCTGAGTGCAACATACCTGACATTCCAAGCAGTGGTGAAGTCGGGGTTCAGCAGCAACAGGGTACATGTGATATCTATCAGCTCTAAAATGATTGAACAAGAGAAACAAAAATCAGTAATGATTCACACACAGCAGCATTCTCTCTGCAATCCCTGTCTTTCCTCAAAGTCTCTCCTCCACGGGCTGCTGTACCTATGGATACCCCCACCTCTGTAAAACACTGCCCTGTCTCATTCCAGAAGAAATGCTAGCTTAATTTAAGAGGGAGCAAAATCTGCCATATCCTCCCTTTTCACTTTTTAAAATAATGGACTTCTGTCTTGCTAACAACCTACATCTGAGAAGTTTGCAGCTGGAAGTTTCTGACCTCTGTCTGTACTGCTATAAACAAACATACAGTATGCCCTCAGCGAGGGACAGCCATTACATAGAATCTGTGAGTATTTAGTGATTTAAATTGCAGACGCACTATATATAGCATAAACAGAGAATTCTCCAGAGAAAATCCAATTTTTATTTTTAAATAAGATAGTACCATTAAAAATATACCCTACTATTTCAGTAAAAGTCTGAGCTGCAGGTGGCTGCCATATACCATACCATTACAAAAAATACACATACTATAAAAAACCTGTAGCTAGGAATATGAAACACCATGACGATGAATCAGGATCACAAAATAACTGCTAACTGCACAGAAAACACTTCAAATATATTCTGAAGTGACAGCCTTCCTTCAGACTGAGGTTTTAAGACTAATTCACTAAAAAAAGAACAAACAGAACATTTGTTTGTATCCCTGCATTTAAGCACTGGACAGACTGTAGATTTATGTATTACACTTATTTTTAACAATGTCGTAAAAACAAGACTGAGGTATACAGTTGCTGAGAATGGAAGAGTAATTTCATTGTAACCTATCCCTTTGCAGTCCACTGCACCATTTGAGCAGTGCTGAGTCCCACCAGGGTAACAGCAGGGATTCAAGAGGCATCTCCACTTAAGCTTGAGATACTAGGGACTATCACTGTGTTGGCTGCCTTAAACTCTGCTCTTGGGAGACACAGCGTCAGATCAGTTAACCTGTCCCACAAACACAATTCTTAAATTTACATGGTAATTTTGCAATTGAGTAAGAAGAAGAAATTTGCTTCAAAACTGAAGTTGACTATCCAGGCTTTTACTGCCAAGGAAGTTGGGCTACATTCTCTCTTAATCACCCTGCATTTAACATACTAAAGAGATTGTACTCCAGGTGATTTCCAGCAAATAAGAGGCACTTTATTACTTTTTAAGGAAAAAAAGGAAAAGAAAAAGGAAAAAGAGGGTATTCTCATGGAACTACATCTCTGGTCAGTGCAGTTAGTATGACTGTAAAATGGAATTTTAAAAAGTCACTGATGAAATGCAACAATAATGGAGCGTATTAATTCAAAATGCTAAGGAACATGACTTCGTGTATCTTTGAATCAAGCTTTGAGAGAACTTAATATTTAAGTGGGTCAAAAAAGTGGAGTACTTTTGTATATTACTGTATGACTGCTCATTCACTTATGTCCAACAAAGTAATCTGGTGCTTCCCATGATGTTCCCGCTTATGGGAACATGTTATTCTACCATGTAATGTGGGGGGGAGGGAGGTGGGGCAGAATTCTTCAGTGCACTAAGCTGTTACGGTGGTATTTTTAAAATTATCTCAAGGCACTAACTTAACTTTCCATTTTCATGAGTTTTAGTTGAGATTTTTTTCTCCTTTAATGAAAGATTTCCTTTTAAACCCCTCTTTGTTGCCAGGGAATGAATATTTCTCATATGTGCAAAGCTTTCTAATTTGCTGCCTAAGCGTACAAAGCTTTTTCTTTGACTTGTCCAATCCCTGAACCAGCAAAGTACTTCAACGCCTATTTAATTTTAGACAGATGAATTGCCCAATGGAAATATCCAGGATTACTCACATATGTAAAATTAAACACCTACTAAGTGTTTTGCTGGCTAACGTTTCAATCTACATTCAAAAACTTCATTGGCAACATTTAACAAAATACCAGTTTTATAAGGATCTATAGTTAAAATTGTGAGCTGTCATTGTTTTGTTTAATTTTCAATTCTACCTTCTCAAAATATCAGTAGTTATTCTGTATTTTTAAAATATCTCAATTTTACATATCACAGAAATAAGTAATTAAGTGCTCTGATTATTCTGCTACTATTACCTTGTGCCATAAACAATACACAAAAATTGCCTTTCAAAATGCAATAGGCCAAGAGCTAATAATAACTCCTCCAAGGTAACATATATCTTTTTTACATCAAATTCACAGTACCTACTACATGCCAACTGAGAGTTTCTTCAAAGAAAAAAAAATAATATCAGGAATTGCAAGTTTTGTTGCTAACACAAAGCAAGGCTAAATACATCTATTCGTTTAATTGCGTTTTTATCCCATTTAGCCAACTTTCTCTCCAACTGGTGGTTATGTACAAAAACAAACAAACAAACAATAGCTCCCTCTACCCCCAAACCCACAAAATCCAAAACGCAAAAAACTTTAATACTAGTTTCTCCCCTAGACAAAAGAGTCACATATATTTTAAACTTGCTTTAAGTTATATTTAATCTGGACTGCCAGCAAATTGATGGCTTAGTATAATTTTTGAAACATATTATGCAGAGTTCAGCACACCAAATCTAGGTTGATTGACACTTCCCATGGTGAACTTTATTTTCAGCTGCTTATCACTTTGCCAAGAGGTCAGTAGGCTGCATCTGAAGACTCCAATGCTCAACCATGGTTAAGTATTGATGCAACAGGACTGTGCAATAGAACAGATGTCTGCAGGACTTTTTCATTTGCTACAGGTGGGAAATGTGTTTGCTATAGGAGGGAAAGGTAAATGTAACTGCGCAGTGCAGGATAAAAGAAGAGATGCAGCAAAATGCTGCAACAAAAAACAGGATTTAGAGGCAGTTCTGAATCAAGTCATAAAAAATTCTGAATTTTTGAGTGTTGGATTTTCTAAATAGAATAATGGTTTTAGTAATTATTAGGTACTACCACTGTATATGATATGGTTGACAAGACATGTTAAGCAAAAGCTTATTACAGCCTAGTTTAGTCTTTTGAATACGTTTTAGAAACTGTTTTCATAGTCTACATGACTCCACTTAGAACAATATAGTTTGTTTATCCTACTAAGTCATGATTTCCAGTTAACATGACTATTCTGGTAATGTCAAAGGTCTGGAATAGCACCAAATCAAGCCCAATTTGAAGAGAAGCTTGTCTACCATTTTGTCTGTTTTCCCATTGCAGAGGTTCACTGTATCCTGAACATTATCAAAGGAAAGAAGCAGACAAAAGGAAAATCTCAAAGCATTACCCAGTTCTTTCATGCTGATGTTCTTTGATGCTTTGTGCAATATGTAACAGATGAAGATTTCATGAAGTGTGGATTCTGAGCCAGAGATGTCAAATGACACAATTTTAGTAACCTCTGAGCCACTTTTCAATAGAAAGTCTTATGACAGATCTGGCACACAATGACAGTAGTTGCCCGCTAGCTCCCTCTGTGTCAGTAACAAAAATCAATGTCTTTTATTTACAATTTAAAAGTACTTTCTGCTGGATACATTTTAAGCAAACTATAGCATCATAGGTGCTCACAACATACATGTCCTTTTGTACTTGAAAGTCTCCCCAGCTGCAAAAGGACTAATATGACAATGCTTTTAGTTCATTTTCTTTTTAAATATGGCTGTATCCAGATTTTTATTTTTATAAGTGTATTGCACTAAGATGTGCTTTTCAGAAGAGTGTTGTAAAAGTAGAAACACAGATTTATGGGAAGTCAGGATATTCTGAGACTATGCACAACAATTATTTGCATAACAAGAGAAGTTTGTAACAATTTCAGAAAACCATCTTGTGATAATACAAATAATATGCATTCATAAATCAAAAAAATACTGGAGAAAGGACAAAAGCATATTGTAAGATTAGAATTTCTAAACTGGAACAATAGCCATAAGAGAAGTAGTCATGATTGTGGATTCCAAGTATCCAAAAGACAACATAACTGAATTAAACATCTGTCACAGTAAGCTGTCAATGACTGAATATAAAGCACTTCCTTCTTCCAGGATCCTGCTAGAAAAATATCAGACACCACATCTAAAAGCAGACACTTGAATCAGCATGCTGGTTTTCTTCTCTGTTCTATTTAAAATGGCTTACAGTAATTCAAACACCACAAAAGAGGTAACAAGACTACATTTGAAACTACTGTTTATTACAAGGATCAATAGAATATGCAATTGAGTTTTTGTAGCAGTAATAAACAAATCTATACCTATATTCAGAAGAAAACAACTACGCTGCCAAAATCCAAGGATGCACTTTTGTCTACAAAAAGGGATTTGGAGGAAAAGCCTTGAAGATATTTCAAATATACAGAAAATGTAACATCTCTTGATAGATTATGCTTACTTATGTCACGTTAGACACAATTCTGTGAGTCCACCTGGGAAAGACTTCTGCCTTCACTCCCTCCACCACTGCAGTTCAGTTTCTGCTAAAATTTC